CCAGCAGCGGCTGCTCTAGGAGTGCACTCTATGGTTGTGGGCTGGGTGCTGGAAGACTCTCTGTCTGGAAGACTCTGTCTGGCAGCCGGTCCACAACCATAGAGCACACTCCTAGAGCAGCCGCTGCTGGAAGACCCGGCAGCCAAGTTTTGGAGTTTGGAAGCTGGAGAAGAAGATGCTTGGAGCACGGCAGCGGCGGCGGTGCCCTGGCCCTGCAGGGAGAGCTGGGCCAGGACATGGTGAGGCTGGGAGGCATACTTGCTGGGGACGGAACAGATGCTCGCGCAACCCCCTTCTCCAGCCGGGCCGAGCTCCATGCACTGACCTAGGGGGTATCCCTAATATGCCAAACCGGGGGAGCTGGGGAGCAGGCAGAGCGCCACGGGCCTTGGCGCCTTAGGGATACCCCCTAGGTCAGTGAATGGTGCTCTGCCTGGCTGGAGAGGGGGGTTGCCAGGCAGTTACTCGTGAGCGTGGTCACCTCATGGCTGCTTCGCCCCTGAGGCTGTGCCCGGCTCTTTGGGAGCCCGCTCACAAGGGCGCAGCCGCCCGGCAACCCCAAAACAATAAGCCCTCCCCCTATAATAAGGCCAAGGCCATATTTCGTGAGGCAAAAGAAAATAAGACCCTGTCTTATTTTGGGGAAAACACGGTACATCCTCCAGCCAGCATCTTCAATTCTCAGTGCAACTGGAGATAATTAGTATTACAGTCTAACTAATTGAACTGTAACACCAGGTTGAAAAGGGTATCCTACTCTATCCATCTGCTTGAAGTGTTTTGATCCATTCTGCCAAATAGTTGTTCTTTCAGCCTCGTTCTCAAAGTAGGATAATCGGAGGAGAAGTGAAACAAATTGATTCATTTGCTCAAATAACTGCAGATGACCTCAAGAAAACTTGTGAAAATCCTAACAATGCAAGTGATGATTTTGCAATAGTGCAGTCCCAAACATGAAGTTTTTACTGTAATGATAAATCTCTGATTAATACAATAAATTTATAATTTTTATAAAATATACTTATTTTGGAAAAGAGAACATTAGAAGAAAATGTAAAAATAATAGTTGTGCACCCAAACACACTATTCCAGATAAAATTAGTTAAGTTGATCTGATGGAGCAAGTTTATTTTTTTTCTCGAACAGTCTTGGTTTTCCAGCAATCAGGCAGGGAGCAGTCTGTAGCGATTCTCAATCATCCAGGTCATGATTGTCCCAAAGGTGCTTTTTCAGGAGGCAACTGGACTTTCTTGTTTTTCCTTTTGAAGACATTTCACTTCTCATCCAAGAAGCTTCTTCAGCTCTGACAGGATAGTAGGGATGGAAGGATTTATATTCCTTGCAGACAGCTGGTAATTTCCATCCTTAAGTTTAGAGCAGGGCTGTCAAACTTGCAGCCCAAATTATTTTGGGACAAACAATTTGGGATGAACACCCTTCGAATGGTATGGGAGTAGGAATGGATTTCCAGAGGAAAAATTACAGACTACAGGAACCAGGAGCACTACTCAGGTGACCCTGAGGACACAGATAAACCTCCAAGTGCTTCAACGACCCTCTAAAAGGATGCAAATGACCAGCTGTCTGCAAGGAATATAAATCATTCCATTCCCCACTATTCTATCAGAGCTGAAGAAGCTTCTTGGTTGAGAAGCAAAACATCTTTAAAAGAAAAAACAAAGTCCAGTTGCCTCCTGAAAAAGCACTTTTGGGGTTTGCAGAAAACGGTTCATACGAAAAAGTATGAGCTAAAGGAGAACATACTTGGCATCTTAATTAGACATCATTAAGGCAACTGAGACTAAAAGCATAGCTACATTTTTATGGAAATCCGATTTCAAGGAAAAGCAGTCTCTAAGCAGAGCATATCATGTTTTGCCCATTCATGTGATTATCTCCTAATTTCCAGCTAGATCCCATTTTTAATAAATTTATATTAACTAAGCCAATTAGTTCCAGCTAAAAATTAACATAAAATCATCATGTGAAAACATTAGAAAATAGGAAGGTTAACTTGATCTATTCAACTTTATAAACCTGGTGACAATTTGTGAGGGAGTCAGAAGAACCACAGAATGTAAGAATTTCTGCTAAGAAGGCAAGGAAACCTTTTAAGAATGCTTTGCACCAACAGAGTACAAGTAAATCATAGTTTAAAAGCAATGAATGCATAAGTAAAGTAAAGCCTGAACAGAAGTCCTAAACAAAGCAAAAGAAGAATTTTAAGTGCAAGATGATTAACATATTGACAGGAAATATCTCTCGGGAAGGCAACCAAACAGGGAATATTTACAATTTGATATGGGAAAGTAAATACAGAATAAAAGATCATATTTCTTCACCTGTTAGAAGCCCCATGCTTGTCAGATATAACAATAAACATTCCCCTGCTGGGGTATCTGTAGTTTCCTGCTACTTCTATCAAATGAAAGCGAGTGACACGAGCTGCACCCTTTTTGACCATGTATGCAATCTCACAATGCACTGCAAAAGGCCATGGCTTGTATTGTAATGGCATGTTGCTCTTTTGTCATATTACACCTGGTAGCACTCAGCACCTTTCTTGAGATTTAGATCTATACTGAAGCTCAAGAGAGAAGACTGTTGAGTTTGGCTTTATCAGAAGATGGAGGGGGGGAAATCTAACTTTGAGAAACAGCTTGGGGTGAAGGGAGAAGGAGGGAATTCTAATCATTTTTGAATAGAATAGAATAACTTTATTGTCACGTTGAATGTACACTAATTGGCATACATTAAAATGAAATTTCATTGCATGCAGCCATCAGAGAGTCACTACCTCCAATATACACTACATGACCATCCATGAATGAATGAATGAATGAATGAATACAAGATTATGCATATACCTACATATATTATGTAACACAAAATATTGTGCTTTACCAAATCAGGCTATGTACAAAAATGTATGAGAACTGTCATTTATACAGAAAAACACAGAAGAAAAAGATGCACATCATCTCTTCCTCTTCATTTCAATAATCTTTCACAATTGCACTAGAGAGAGAATTCACAAATAGGTCAAGAAAAGGCTATAGCTATATATACTCCATTCAAAGTAAGTCCTCTTAGACTAAGTTTTGCAAAAGCATTCGTAGGATTACTCTTCATATCAATAGAACGGTTTATAAGCCATGCTGGACCAGCATTTATCTCGGCTAACTCCAAATGACAGCTAATAGCTCTCATGATAAGATGCAATAGAGGTCCATCCCCTCAAAAATGATCTCAGTGCAATAGCACTGATCTCATGCCCTGGTACAATAGATCTCATGCCCTGGTACAATATTCAATCAAGTTTTTGGAGAAAAGATGTTCAGTTGGGTATTCTTCCTTGTACTCCTCTCCTCTAGTGATAGAAGGGGACATTCTGGTTCTAATTTGAATGATTTTTCCAATGGCTTTGTAGTGTTTCTTGAAAATATTCACCCATTTTTCATTCCGTTTGAGATTTCTTAGTATTAAGTATTATCTGATGTAGTCAGAGGTTACTTCAAAGGCGTTTGCCACTGGGTTCTTCCTGGCATCCATGTTTCAATCTCTCTAATGCAGGAAAAGTCTGCAGAGCTGAACAATGTATGAAAGAAGCAATCATGGAAGACAAAAACATTCAAAAGCAGAGAGCAATTTCATTTAGAATGCTCTTAAATGACAATCTGGAGTAGATTCGGCAAATGGAATAAATCTTGCAAGTCCTGTCCAGAATAATGGGAAACAAGTCTTTCTGGGTGTTCTGATCTTCTAAAGAAACAAATAGCATACTTACAGTTTGGAAATGTGTAATATTATGGCCCAGTTGTCCACACCTGATGAAAATCCAGTGGGACTGGTGAAATGTGTCTTTCAGCCAGAATTATTACAATATACAAATACCAAGTGCCCTTCTTTCAACCAGTATTATGTGCAATTATTGAAGTTAATTCCATTTGTTTCACATAGGTCTCGATTTACAGATGCCCAAGTTGCTTACAACTTTTTCAATGTCATTCCATTCCAGACAGAATGGGAAAACTTGCTGCAGCCAACTCGCTACGGTCAACTCACCATGGCCACCTCACCATGGGACAATTCACTGTGGGACAATTCAACAATTCAATTAAATTGTTTAAAATATTTAAAAATATTTTTTTTAATTTTTGTCATTCGCATTTTATTTTATCCCTTCTTTGGCATCCTTTCTTTAATGATTATATTAGACCAGTGTTTCTCAACCTTGTCAACTTGAAGATGTCTGGACTTCAACTCCCAGAATCCCCCAGCCAGCATTCGCATTCGACATCTTCAAGTTGACAAGGTTGAGAAACACTGTATTAGACTATTACTTCAATATTAGTGTAACTCTTGTCCCATAGTGAGTTGGCCATGGTGAGTTGTCTCATGGTAAGTTGCCTGTGGCAAGTTGTTTGCGGCCAGTTGGCCATAACAAGTTGGCCATGGCAAGTTGTCATAGACCCCATTCCAGATGTTTGGATGTCTTATCTCCCAAATTCACAGCCGCATGACTTTCTGAGCATTCTGGGAGTTTAAATTCACACCTCTGAGGAATGTCCAGATCAGAATAGTCTTGTACATAGATTCACCATATTCCATAATTAGGGAAATCTCCTCCCACAATTGCCTACAAGACAAAACTTGGATGGGAATCCACCACGGAATACCAGAACAATAAGCTAGATTGGAAGGTTGACAAACATCTCAGGAAAAGACCAGAAATCTATATGGGTTTATCTGTGAAGTGACCAAGAGTAAACTTGATTTGAAGAAAACATATTTTATAGTCAACTAGAATAGTTTCAGACTAATAGCTTCAGAAGTCTCCTTTTTAAAAAGCAGATAGTAGGAATTATTTGACTTAAGTGAGCCCAACCATTATTTTTAGCATTTAAAGCACATTCTCTTTGACATTCTTTTACTTTGAAAAACATTTCTACCTCAGTAGGAAACACATCATTTAATTCAAATGGATTTGAACTTTTTAGGTCAGGCCATGCTTTTGCTGCCATTGGAGAAATCATCTATATGTTTGGCGGTCGTTCCAATGAAGATGAATATTATACTGATGTGTATGCACTGGACACAGGTTCTTTTCATTATATGTGATCATTTTGTTCGAATTATGAACTGCTGTTGTAAGTTAGCAAAGTAATGAAGAGATGAAGAGATGAAAATAAATGTGACAATCCCTGACCATTTAGGGTTATCTTTCAAGCAATTTCAGGGCCCAAAAAATTCTGCTACAAAAGAGTTCAGGTTACCTAGTATATTTGCCAAAAAGGAAGATAAAGGCTTCCCATTCCAAATAATTATCTGTAAATGGGGTGAAGTAATCTTTCATTTACCTAGAATATGGTATTACTAAAGAATGCATACATTTCCTTCTAGGAAGAAAGATCTGTGACTTTGTTATAAAAGAAGGTAAAAACAGCTTAGTTTCCAGTGATTTATTCTCCTGTCGCTACAAAACGTACATGGAGTAAATTGAGCTAAGTAGATCTATCCCCTAGCACAGAATTATCCTACACATGTTAATGTGGGAGAGAAAGCCACCGAACTCACTGAAATTTACTACAGATGAGATGCCTTTTATACCCATTTTAATGTGGGATGCCTTATAAATAAATAAATTGGCAAGCAGACAATTCATTTAGCTGACAAAGACCTGATTTCTTAGCAACCAATCTTCCCTAGGGATGAGGGTGGATCATCCTTCTTTTCAGATAAATATGGTACTCAGGAAAATACATTATTCTGAATTCTTTGGCAAATGGAGTACGGCAATATCAAAGGAGGATACACAAGGGAATGTAAAAAAAAATATTCATGTAATGTAAGTTTCACCAATTTCGGTGGAATTTAAATTCAACTAACAATGCAATCACGGCATACTGCAGAGTAGACAATTTTGGGTGGCTGGGACATATATAGGATTTTGAGAGCATGTTCCATATATGTTTACAAAATGACCATTAGGTTAGGCATGGTCAGTCAAATGAAGTTCTCTACAATTTGATAGGGCCTTTGTAGGATCCAAAGGTATTCCTGCAGTCCACGTAATGCTAGAGGCAGATTATTTTCCTTACAGCATTCTAACTTCCAATTTAATGTTGTTACTAAAGAAATATTCTGTCATATAGGTTAGGAGACAGTAGACGCCAGAAGCAGTGTCTGGGGACACTTGATGCCTGCTTACTCTTAACTTAGCTTGATGCCTAAGGATTGCTCCCTGTTTGTTTTCCATTCTATGTGGATGCTTCTTGTTGTAAAACAAAGGGGGAACTAGCATGACAGACATTTTGTGCCTTTGACCCCATTTGGAACAGGGTTTATATTTTTAGTGTTTTACAAAATAAGAGCCCTATCTAACACAAAGCTTACTATAGGATCCAATCTGGGTCAGTCAGCGGGGCCAGAGGTTTAGAAGACTTTCGGACTCTCTACCAGAATGTAAAGAGAAATTCCCTGAAGATGGGCTCCAATACAAGTCAGAAAGCTCGGACGAGTAAAGCTCTGGTCCTGGTGACCAACCCAGATTGGGACAACATTATCCTGAGACACAGATATTTGCCTGCATTCAACAAAGCCTAATAGCTGTGGAGCCTGCAAGGATGGCAAAAAAGTGAAGATGGCAGACAACCTGCATCTTCTTCTGTGTGTGTAGATGTTGTCACATCTACAAAAAGGATGGGAATTTAATTGCACTGTCACAACTGCCAAGTGGACTTTTTTTAATCTCATCCCACCAACCCCCACAATGCCATTGGTTGCTGAGATTCTGGCAAAGAACTGGCAAATTATGACTGATTGCATGTTGCTATGTTGTGTAGGGTATATTCTCTGGTTAAAGACTTTAATGCTAAAGCCTTCTTATATCCTAAACTGCTTCGTTGGCCATAGCCAGGATTCAGGAATATGCTTCTATAGAACTTAACTCTAAAAGGGATGGAAAATCTTCACCAGCATTTTGAAACTCTGATTTGGCAAGGCTTGAGTTTTTAAATATTGCACTACATTTAGAGAGAAATTATGACACTTGTTTCAATTCGTCTAAATATGCAAATAAGCTCCATTAATAATGTCTGTACTGATGAGATTGCTGGTTATTTCTCTTGCAATTTTCCACAAATCCTCACCCTTACTCTACTACTGCACGCAAAGTACTGTGTTTCCCCCAAAATAAAGCAGGGTCTTATTTTCTTTTGACCCCCGAAATAAGCACTTGGCCTTATTTTCAGGGAGGTCTTATTATTTTTGAGGTGCAGGAGGTGGCAAGCATGGTCACCTCACGGCTGCTGCTGTATTGCAATATTTTGGGGGAGGGCTTATTTTTGGTGGAGGGCTTATTTTAGTACATTTGCTCAAAAGCCCAATTGGGCTTACTGTTATTATCTAAGGAGGTCTTATTTCGGGGAAGCAGGGTGGGTGTAAAGTTAAAAATAGTGCATAAGTATTGTGAGGAGAGAAAAAAACTGGAATCACATCAAAGAATCCAGTCTTTGAGTAGCCTGGGGAATTAATATGCTTTTATATGTTTTAAAAAATGGATGTAAATGTCAAAGGATTGGAATAGTGCTATTTCCAGATACTACAGAATAAAAGCAAATGAAAGATGTTTTTGTGTTATTTTATTTTCTCTCCCCAAGTATCTTTAATGTGGAAAAAGTGTGAAGTAAAGGGAGAAAAGCCTTTTGGAAGATCACATCATACATTTACAGCACACAGTGATAAGGTAAACAACTGAACATTTTACTCTCCTGTTACAAATTAATATGCTTTTACTTCCATTGTATTTGAGAACAGAAAATCTTGACTGCAAAGATTTAGGGCAGATATACACTCACTGTTTGTCCCATTGCCAATAAAGCCCACTCCACCACTTTCTCACTGTAGGAATGGATGGCATCCTCCTCATTTTACTTCTTGTTGTTGAAGATGCACCCCACAGCCATGTCTTCCAGCTAAAGCAGAATTGCAGTTCTCCAACCTGAGCCATTTTCAACACTTCAGAATGGATGGTCTCCAGTACTTTGGTCTATTCTAATTGCAGCCACTGATTGGCTGTAGTGCCTGCCATTCTCCCTCCAGCCCCACCCTCCACAACTGCTGATCATGCGCAATCCTTCTGTTCTGGGTTAGGTGAAATATGTTTTCCTTTTTTCCCACCTCTTACCCAGAGAACTACAAAGGCCTCCTTTCCTCCTTTCCTTTCTCGTTCTCTCGTCTTTAGGTTGCAAGAAAAGAACATTGCTACTTGTTTTTGTTAATCTGAATTATTAGATCTTCCTTGCACAACCTATAGAGGTCTATGGACATAGGGGCAACAGAACAGCCAATTTCCTATTGCTTTAATTACTGTACTATTAGAACTAGGATCGTGCCAGTCACAATCAATCAGATGTGCACATGCAGAGTTCAAGTTAACCACTTTATTGTTTTCAGCCTATAATACAAGAATCTCCCCATTTTTGACAATATTTAAATAAGAATCCAGGGAACTTTTGGTGGGTGGGTGAAAGGAGAGACACAGAGGGAGGGGGGCACCTTTGATGGGAAAGTAACAGTGTTCTGTGCGCCTTTGGCGTTTAGTCATGCCGGCCATATACTATGGCAACATCTTCAGACAGTGATGTCTCTTCAGCTTTGAAACGGAGATGAGCACCACTCACAAAAGACGGGAATGACTAGCACATATGATGGAGGATAATTTTTACCTTTACTTTTTTATTTTGCCTTTGCAGCTGTAGAAAATACTATATACATCATGCCATTCAAGAACTTAATCTATTTCCTATATTTTCCAATGTCTCCACTATCAAGAGAATTTTCAGGAAATTTGTGATAGAACGTCTATCAAACCCTGAGCACATAGGAGGAGAAAATTGTTGCAGAATGACAATTACTATTATACAGTATCAATACAATAATACTGTAATACTAGCAACAACATCTTTTCCAGATATCCAAGTTTGCCGACTGCCTTTTTTGAAGGAGTTGACAAGAAATACTGGGAGAAAAGGATGAAATCTTTTTGCATTTTTATTCATCACCCATCACTGGCATCCACTGTGTCAGTGATGTTTTCCATCAATATATCACTGACAGATCCATTTCAGAAATTCTCCACGGAGCATTTTTTGTAGCATTCCCAAAAAGCAAAAGAAACAATTGCAAGATCTTGCTTGCTCCACAAGGTGGGGAACCCTGAGCTTCTATTTGACAGGCAGAAGTAGAAAGTGTATAATCACCTGTATCTGGCTGAATATTCCCATCTGAATATTAGGGTCAGGAAGCTGGCAGGGATCTAGATTCTGCCCTTATGGCTTGGTGATCCTAGAAAGTTCCTTAGCTTGAAAAGACAGGGAACGATGGAACAATTTCAATTGCAGAATGCAGCTGCTTCTTATCAATTCCTTCCACCTCCCATTCTATCCTATGCGTGAAGAGTTTGCTTAGAGTTGTACAATGTGTTATTCAATCCTGTTATTGAGAGTTAAATGAAGCCTCTGTGGTTTAGCAGATCACACCTATCATTTGGAGTCCTTTGAAATGTGAGGTGGAGAGATAGGCAGGGGAATTGGCTGCATTCCAATCCAGCTTGTTTTAAACAGATTGCTAATTAGCAGACATTGGCCATTTCCAAGGCAACCAGCGATAATAGTCCACGTATATCCCCAGAGCTTCGGTAAGGTGTGCAGGGCAAGACAAAGGCTTACAGCAGAGTCCCAGACATCAACAACTGGAAGCAATCTTGGTATCCCTTGAGCAATATGCATGTAATTTAGGAAAATCACTCTCTTATATTAGCATAGGAACACATATTAGGAGATAAGTCCTTTGCGAAGCAAAATGGACATATAATTACCCCATAATACCGGGATTTCTTCTGAACATTTTCAAGATTGAAAAGACTTTTATTTTAGAGATGCCACATTACCACTGATCTGATGATCAATTAATGGACAAATCTTTTTAAAAAATCATTATTGTGATGGTCTCTCTCAAGAAGAATATCAATGAAGAACAAAATGTTGAGTGCAAAATAAATTGGTATGGTAATATCTGCCATTGTTCTTCCATTTTAGGACATTTATCTGTTTGGAGGAACTTTTGAGTTCAAAGATGGCAAAATCATTTCAAAGAATGATATTATGAAATTAAGTTTAGGTGAGTAGGGGAAAGGAATGAATGAATATTCTGTCTGAAATTTGTTTTGGGAAGTTATTATTTTGAAATATATTTTTGAATAAAAATCTAAGGTTTAAGGTCCTATCAAATATTAATTTCTGCTCATCAAATTTGAATGCTTATCCTTTATACTAAAAATTTCTCTCTGAATGTTCTATATTTTGTTCACGCTTTTTTAATGTAGTAAACACAAGTCTAATATGCCTCCTCCTCAAAAATAGTCTGCAAAATAAATCTGATATTGTCCCCTTAAATTCAGGGGAGTATTATTTTGTTTCATGTTAAAAAAAGTTAGCAACTGCTCATTCTTCATTAAAATTATATATATATATAGATAGATAGATAGATAGATAGATAGATAGATAGATAGATAGATAGATAGATAGAT